GCAGTGTTAAATGATGGCACTACTGATGTCTCGGATGATGCGGCGTTTATCAGACGGAACGAAGTCGATCTCTTTCTACCTCCTGTTGGTCGCCGAACCGAACCAAGTGTTGCCAACGTACAGGTATTTCGCATCTGCCAAGGTCACTAACCGATCTGGCTCATTTCACTCTTCGTTGCCGTACCTACTGACAGATTTTTCACTGGCTCTTCATCGTCTGACATTCGCATTGAAGTTTGCCATGACGATGGTATACGTGGACTTTGGGATCAGTGCCTGTTCCAGTTCCTGATAGAATTGTTCTACCTTCTCGTCTGCTGTACTCGTGGGAGCATAGATTTGGATGACCTCCAAGGTCCTCTGCTTGTTCAGTTGAAGGTAGAGAATGGCCAGTCTTGGTGACTTCACATGGTAGGAGACGATTCATTGGGACCGGCTTTTGCTGACTACAAATCCGGTTCCTCCGATATTCTTCGCGCCTTTTTTATCTGGCCAAATGTAACACCCGTCTTCCCAAATGCCGTTCATCTTCTTCCGCCGTCATGCCTCGTAGAGACCAAGGCTGTCGCAGGCAATTTCTGACCATCTTCCATCAGTTAGTTTAGCGTTTCTTCTCTCGCTACTATTCCAGTTATAGATTAAGTCGGTGAGGGAAGTCCGGATCCGTTTACCAGAAGGAGGACTTTCAGTTTGGAGCCTCTCGTTAGTCGAATACCCAACCGCCGGCATGGAACGGGTCGAGAAACTCGCAGGGTACTGATGCCCATTTATTGGTGTTGTGGCGCCTGAAGTTTTGCCACTGACTCGTCGGGCAGGCGGTAGCTTGAGCAAATTTCGTATAGACTGGACCCCCAATTCCGTCTGGTTTTTTTAATCGAAGTTGTCTCTTCTAGCCTTTGACGAACCTACATCTAACCACAAGGCAGCGGTGACTTTAGCGGCATTTCCTCTTCAGAGGAGTCGGCCGCTTTCGCTTTGACATGAGTGTCATTCGCATTGTGATTTTTCTGTGAGGATTGAACTAGTCGAGTTTGAACCCGGGTACTCTTTCAGTCGCATCACTGCTTGACAGCGACTGCTCATT